GAGCACTCCCAGGGAGCAGAGCGAGGGCCCTACCAGCCTCAGGAACCAGGGATCTCTAACATCCTCATGGCTGGAGAATGCCCTCCCCCCTCCAACCTTCATGCCCGGCCAGGGCATCCCAACGGCCAATGCTAAGACCTCAAAGAACTTACATGCTTTCCTGCCCACCAAGCCAAAGCTTTTACTCTTTCATCTCCTTCATCTACTCCCCTCGCCCCCTTCACTCCAGCACAGTTTCCTTGTGAAGTTTAAGCTTTCATAGAACAAAGCCAGAAAGGGGGTTATCTCTAAGTAGTTTCTGGTCTCTAGCCTCTCCAAGGATCAGGGATCCCAAGAAGGTGGCTTACTTGCTTGGAAAGTGCCAGCTGCCTTGGGTGTTTCCTATAGACTGCCCAGACAGGTTATGCTGGATAATCTGTTTGCCCTCCCATAACCACCCTCCATCCTTCTCCACCCTGCTCTGTGCCCTAAGAGGCTGGCTAGGGTGACCGAGTCCTGCGGGAGACTGCATCACCCAGGCACCCTTCTGACTTCCAGCTGGGGTTTGTCAATGGGAGGTGTCAGCCTGAGAGGATGAGAGGAGAAAGAAGTTGGGTGTTTCTTTCCCTGCTGGACCATGATTACTTCCCTTTATCAAAGGACACAGCTGCTGTCAGACAGCCCTTTCTTACCACGACAGCTCTTATGGATTGAATTGTGTGTCCCTTACCCCCCCTTACCCTCCCCCCCCGACACCCGCTGCAAAAGATGTATTGCAGTCCAACAAACAGCACCTTAGAAAGGGACCTTATTTGGAGATGTGGTTTACAGCGGTGACCACGTTAAAATGAGGTCACTGGGATGAGTCCTAATCCAATGTGACTGATGTCATTATGAAAAGGAGAAATTAGGACACAGATTCAGACACACACAGAGGTAAGACATATATAAAGAGACACGGAGAAGACATATCTACAAACCAAGGGAAAGAGAACAGATCTTTCCCTCACACTCCTCACAAGGAACCAACTCTGCTGACATTTTGATTTCAGGCGCTTTCAAGCCTCCAGAACTGTGAGACAGTGCATTTCTGTTTGGGGTACTTTGAGATGACAACCCCAGCAGACCCACGCAAGCTGTGGCTGGGTTCTGGTAATACCTCCAGCCCTGCGCCTTCAAGCCTAGAGGTGGTACAGACTCCTGCTGTTAGTCCCTGGACGCCTCACCACCCCTGTGGGTTTCCCTTAAACATACCCACACCCCAACCTGTTCATTCAATTATCTTCAATTATTCTGTTGAATGTGCCATGTGTTTCCAGATACTCAAGTTTAGATTACAATTATTTCCCAATATACTTCACAAAACTACCACAAGGGCAAGATAAAGTTCTACTTGGGTTCTCCAATTATGTAGACATCTACTGGGAGTCTTACATCACTCAAAATAGAGTATCTGATATATTTTCACTTTCCGTGGTCCATTTCATCTCACAGGACACTGGGGAAGCCATTAGGGCAGTGGTTCTCAACCTTGGCTGCACATTAGAATCAGCTGGGAATCTTTTTAAAATCCTGATTTCTGGGCCTCATCCTCCGGGAATTCTGTTTCTTTGTTATGGGGTGGGGCCACAAACATTAGTAACAAAGAAACAGAATTTCCAGAGGATGAGGCCCAGAAATCAGGATTTTAAAAAGATTCCCAGGTGATTCTAATGTGCGACCAAGGTTGAGAACCACTGCATTAGGGGAAGTGATAGTTTGGATTTAATTGGATAAAAACGTTGGTCTAAGTGTAAGCGTTTGTGGTAAGCAAGGCAGGGAATGTTGGATGTAATGAAATATATGTCCTACACTTTAGGAGCTCAGATTTCAAAAATTTCAAACAAGCATTAGGGAAGGCCCCAGGGCAGTCTTAAAAACTAAGTTAGCTCAAGAGGAATGGATCTTCTCAGGAATTAAATTCTGACATTGCCCATGAGCAGCAAACAGTACGGTGGCTCATGTTCTCTGAATAAATCCACTTTTAAACGAACCTGCAGAAAAACAGGTGTTTAACTGCGAATGAATACCAAAAAATGGCCACTACTTTTAAGAATAACTTCTGGCTTTCCCTGCCGATAGCTCACAAACATGGTGAACAAACCCGCCGAACTTTCTGTAAAAAGTGTGGCAAGCATCAGCCCCACAAAGTAACACAGTACAAGAAGGGCAAGGATTCTCTGTATGGGCAGGGAAAGCGGCGCTGCGACCGGAAGCAGATGACTTATGGTGGGCAGACTAAGCCGATTTTCCGGAAAAAAAAAAAAAGGAAAAAAAAAGCTAAAACTACAAAGAAGATTGTGCTGAGGCTTGAATGCATTGAGCCAACTGCAGATCTGAGAGAATGCTGGCTATTAAGAGATGCAAGCATTTTGAACTGGGAGGAGACAAGAAGCAAAAGGGTCAAGCGATCCAGGTCTAAGTTTCATATTTTGTTTTATTACTAGTATATGACAATAAAATCTTGATATGTTCACTTCAAAAAAAAAGAAAGAATAACTTCTGGAAGGGTAAATTCCAGACTAGGACAAACCCTGTGAAATTGGGGGGAAGAGGGAGTGATTTTTAAGTTACTTTAAAGCAAGAAGCACAAAACAAGATAGAGGCTTTAGAATAGGGGGAAAATACAAAGTAACTCATATAAACAATTAGAGAACATGTGTGGAGAACTGAAGCATGCTGGGAGAATGAAGAAAAAATGGGTGGGGGGAAACAGGAGAACTGGTCAATTCTGGGAACTTAGTCTGGAAACTTGACATTGACTCTGGAAAAAATCTCAAATGGAGTCCTTAAACAGAGGGCTAGTAAGTTCTTAGGGAGAGAAACAATAGCCAGAGCCTGAATAGGTATGTCCAATTCACGGCAAGTTAAAATTACTTCCTTTTTGATGGATCTGCACTAACACACCTGGGTTTTAGCACAGCTCTCATTTGTCCCTCTGAGTGCTGTCTCTCTTGTCTATACATGTGTCATAAACTGCATATCATTTATTGTCATTGTTGGAGACTGTGCTAGCCACCGAGGTTACATAAAGAAAAACCCACACAGGGCCCCCTACCCTCAGAGTTCGCTTCCTGGAGGGGGATAAATTCCCGATTCTGGGATTTTTCTCAGTGGTATCCGAGCTCTCTCCTGTCTTCCTAAACCACATGTGGTTTTCCTGAGCTGGCAGAAGCCTCAGGCTCCAGGCCTCCACTGTCTGCTCCTTCTCTCCTCTGTTCTCAAGTATAGAGTGGGGAGGAAACTGGGTTGCAGTTTTCCGTGGCCAACAGGTGGTGTCCTCTTTTGCAATACGCTACCATTCAGGTTCCATGCAACAGATATTAATTGGCTAATTTTCCTATTTGGCTAACCTACATTTCCAGCCTCACATTCCAAGTCATCCCTTTAGTCACTACCAGCCCCAGCCCTTGGCCATAAATTTCCAAGTCTGTGCCTTTTTGCTCAATTGATTTTCTCATTCTGGAATGTCTGGCATATCCTTCTCCACCTGTGGGAATCCTACACATTTCTCAAGACCCAGCTCCAAAGCTGCCTCCTCCCCGACTGCTCGATAAAATCCTGCCCAAGCTCCCACGCTTGACTTACGCCGCACGATTGTACTGTCATCTTCCTTTCTGGGTCAATTAATTACTGTCAATTAATTACTGGTCAATTAATTACTCTGTCTTCCCCACTAGAGTCTGAGAGCAAGGGTCTCCAGAACTCCCATCCTGTCCAGCTACAGCACTTCACAACCGGAGTTGGTAACTAAGGCCTGAGCCAAAAATGGTTGAAATAATTGAAAAAAGTTCAACAGAAGAATAATGCTTTGTTAAAATGACATGAAACGCAAATGTCGGGGACTGTAAATAAAGCTTTCTTGTAACACGTAGCCTCTGCTTTCTATGACTGCTTTTGAGTTCCAGGGGCAGAGTTGAGTAGTTGAAAAAGAAACCTCACGGCCCACATGTCTTAATATTTACTATATGACCCTTCACAGAAAATTCCACTAACCCTGCTTGACCACTGAATCACTGGGGCCAGACACCAAGATTTCCTTTCTTTGAATCGTGGAGGGAATAACTATCTTGTCTTTAAGTTGCCATCAACGTCAAATGAGATAATGACTTAGAAAAGCATAAAAGCACCATTTAAAGACAACTGTGTTTTTCATGTACTGAAAAGACAGTAAAGCGGTAAAATGAAAAACACTATTTTTGCTCCCCCCCTTCCTCCCTTTACAGCCTTTCTTTAAACTTTGAAGTTTATAAAAATTTCACTCCTGTTTTCATTTCTTTACAATCAACACTCTTTTGTATTAGTTTCGGGCTTTATATTAATTACAGAATAGTGGTTAGACATTCATATAGTTTACAAAGTGTTCCCCGACATTTCCAGTACCCACCTGGCATCATACCGTCATTACAACACTGTTGACTCTGTTCCCTATTTAAGTGACAATAGGTTTACAGGTTCCTTCCAGTCTTGTGTTGCTCGCCCTTCCTTTTCTTTCCCCCTTCTCCCCTCATTCTCTTTATACAGTATCTCAATTGGCCCTCAAAGCTCAGCGAAGGCCCTGGGGCACGCTGAACCCATTTTACAGGCCAGGAAACTGAGGCCAGCCCCAGTGGCTGCGGAACCGGACTCAGCCCGCCGGGAGCCCTCACAGCCGCGCTCCCCGCCCTTCCCGGGGGCGGCCGCGGAGCCAACAGAACAAACCCCCGTCAGGCTTCCGAGCCTCGTTCCCAAGCACCTCTCCATCGCGGACGCTCCACATTCTTCCCTCTCCCCGCCCCGCCCCCATTCTTTACGGCTCCCCCTTCTCGGGAGCAGGTGGTAGGCTTCGCCCTCACCGCGCAGGCGCGCGCCGCCGTGGGGCGGGGCGCTGGGGGCGGGGCGGGCGCTGGGGGCGGGCGCTCGGGGCGGGGCGGGCGCGGGCTTGCTTTTGGGCCGCGGCGGGAGCCGGAGTCGCCGCCTCTCCTGTGCGCAGGCGCCTGGCGGTTACCGGTCTCGCCATGGAGCGGAAAGGTGAGCGGCGAAGCGGCCTTCGCCACGAGGGGCAACGGCCGCCGGGGCGAGGCCCGGTCAGCGCCGGGAGCTTCGCCGAACCGCCGCAGTCGGGTCCCCGGCAGTGCGGCGCCCCTCCACTGAGGTGGCGCCGCCCCTCAACCCCCGCCTCAGGGCTGCGGATCCGCGCCCCTCCGCCCGGGCGTCCTTCCACGCCGGCAGTCATCGCCCCTTGTTCCCCGCCGGGCCGACCCCCGTCTTGGGGCCACTGCAGAACCTCGCTCTCCGCGGGCGAGGCCGATCCTCGCCCGCCGGCCCCCCGCCCCGGCCCGGGCCCCCTCTGGCGCACCCCGCCTCGGCGCCGCTCTGCGCCCCGTGGGCCGCCCGCCTCCTGGCCAGCCGCTTCGCCGATGCCGCGGCGCTCGCCCCGGAGCCGCCCCTCCGGCGGGCCCCGCAGTCGGGCCTCGCGCCGCTGCTAGGTGCCCACCCTCACCTGGGTCACCTCCCTTCTCCCACCTCCGCCCTTCATCCATCCCTCTCTCCTGCAGTGCTTGCGCTCCAGGCCCGAAAGAAAAGGACCAAGGCCAAGAAGGACAAAGCCCAAAGGAAGTGAGTCTTGACCCCCCCACGCCCCACTCTCGGGCTTCCTCCCGCGCCTCCTCTCGGTGGCACGTTCTGACCGGGCACCGGGTTCGGGCACCCCACAGCCCGGCCGCATGGCCTCCGGGCGGCCTGGTCGAGGCGCTCTCCGCGAACCTGTGGAGGGAAGGGCGCCTCCGTCGGTGCCCGGGGCCCGGCCCGGGTCTCAGCAGCCCCCCTGCCTGCTGCAGAGGGTGCAGGAGGAGGACCAGAGCCGTGCGTCCCCAGCTCCCCGACTCCGGAGGAGGCACCACCGGCGCCCTCGTCGCGGCCTCCCGGCGGGGCTGGTGGGTCGCGGTGTCGCTCCTCCCTACCTGCCCCCGAGCGCCTTCCCTTGCCTCCCGCGTCTGCGCCGTAGGCCGCCGGGGCGCTCCTGAATGCATGTGCCGCGAGCTGGGCCCTTTGCTCGAGGAGGGCCAGGAGCTCCCCCTGGTTCGTCGGTTTCCTGAGCCTTCGCTGGCGGTGCAGGCAGACCGCCGCGGACGCAGCCGGTTTCTCTTACTGCTCCGCTTCCCCCTGGACCCCAGGTCCTCGCTCCAATGCGGGTGCCTTCTGGCGTGGGCGCCACCGTAGCGACAGGAAAGGCCCCGAGCCAGCGCTGTTGGCGATTCTGGGCCGCTGTGTTCAGAGCCACTTGTCTGTCTGGCGTTATCAGCAGGATGCATCACCTTAGCGCTATTGTGGGAAGCACAAAAGTTGGGCACAGCTTTAGGAGAAACGCCCGGTAGAGGGCCTCTGCAGGCGAGGCCCGGTCTAAAGAAGTTTCCTCCTGTACTAACATTGAATAATTGCAAAGGGTCTTGGAAACGGTTAGGCGGTTTGTGTTCAGAAAAAAAAAAAAAAAAGTGCTCTATTCTCTCTGGGCTGATAAAACGCATTTCAAGGCTTTTCCCAGGTTGCCCTGCTGAGTGACAGTACCAGACAGGGGTGTGTGTTATTGGTGTCCGCCTTATCTTTAAGTGCAGCACGTAATGACTTGTGTCAATAGAGCTAATGTGGTAGGTGACCTCACCTCTTGCTCCATTTCTATCGGCTGTCTTATGAAATTTTTTATTTTGTACAGTGCTTGGTAACCAACGCATTTAAATGTGAGTTATCCAGGTATGGATTATTGGAAAACCAGTTTTTAATCCCAGATTGGTTTAATGGAAACAGCAAGGAGCTAACCTGGTTCTAATATGCAGTGGGATTTTAAATGTTACTCATTTTCTTTTTGTATCTTAGTTTTGTTATTCTCTGTGGAGCCGATATGAATATGTTATAAAACATTTTTTGCTGATGTAAGGAGGTGGTGATTTTGTTATTTTCCGTATTAGAAGTCCTCTGTCCTGGTCTTCGAACACGGAAATTAATCTTTATATTAGCCTGAATCAATCTATAATTTGGGAGGTATATAGATACAGATGATTGTGTACTTTATTTTAACACATTATTTATTACTTTGGATTATCTACTTAGCCTTATTCTAAAGCTGAATTATATGTACTTTGATTATCGGTTACTCTTCCATTTACTTCTATAACCTACTTACTTCTGTTCTTAATTATTTCCATACTTGCATAAAAGCAAGTGAATAGTACAGATAATCTGCAGTTATTTTGCTGATATTTAATCCTCTGCAACTTTGACTCCTGAAACTGATACTGTTTACTTGTAGTGTCAAAGGTGCTTTATTTTTTTGTCTTCAATTAATACTCTTTCTTGATAATTTTACCTTTTATTTTCTAACCTCCTCTTAAGTAGCTGAAATGTCTAATTAATTAACTTGATTAGAGTACAAGCCCCACCTGACTCAGGTAACTTGACTCTGTTCCATGACTCCTGATTCCAGTCTTTTCGCCAAGGCAAGCTGTTAGTTACCAGGAGATAATGAGGGAGAAGGTCTGAGGAAGAAGCATGCCATAGAGTTTGGTCAGAGTCAGATCTGGTTTGAATTTTGATTTTGCCACTTTTTAGCAATTTGACCTTTGTTAACTAAGTTAAGAAATAGTCCTACATGCTCTTATGTCTGGTAGCTCAGTCATAATGAAAATTGATAAGGACCAAGCATTTAAATGAAAAAAAATTAGAAACTTTTGAAAGTACAACAGTAATAGCATCCTGGTAATTTAGTCATGGTATGATACAGGTGGAAGTGCTTTTCGGTCCCCTGACTTTGTAGATCTTGAAACTAGAACTTAGTACATGAAATAATACACCCAGGGAGCTGGAGTTGGTTGTAGCAGGGTCAAAACTGGAATCCAGGGCTCCTGCTTGAGCTTCTTAGGGTGTTTCCTTTGGGTTCATATACTGTGTTGAAAGATTTTACTTTGAGGATTTTTAGTTGTCTTATTTGAAGAAATCCTCCTTCATTTCACTTTTTCAGACTCTACTCTTATTAACATTAACTTGTTGATGATAATCTGTATTTTACTTTGCATATAAGGAAATTGAGATTTGTAAATTACTCCCCTATAAAATTGTAAAGTTAGGATTCCAACCGGAGTTGACATACCCCAACGTACACTGCTGTCTCCAAGTGACAGTTGTTTCAGTGTGCCGGAGAACAAATAAGGTAGAGGCTGAGTGAACAGAGGCTTCTGAATAAGGGGCCTCTGGATGCCTTAGGTACCCTTTCATGGCCCATTGGTGATGGCTCTGAAAGGGCAGAATGCTCTATCTCCCTTTGAGCATTCATTCTGTTTTCAATGTGTATACCAATAGCTGGGCTTTTATCTGTTTGTCATGAGGTTTTATAATTTAACAGTTACACTGCTTGTGAAATTATTTCATGAAACATATTCCTGAATGGATTTTATATGTAATAATTTTATTACTTAGAAATTTAGTCTGGACAGTAATTTTTACTTTATTTGCAGTAAAGAACTTTGTGAGTTTAGTATAAATTTGGTAGCTACAGAAGTGCTTTTGCTTATTCTAGTACTTAACTGCTCTATGGAGGCAGAGGGGAGATGGTTTTATTTAATTTTCCAAAAATGTAATTGTTACATTAAAACTTTAGAAGAGAAAAATACTTTAAAATTTCCAATATTTTTATCCAGTAGTGAGTAGAGTACATAAACTTAAACCAATTTTTAAAAATGCAGTGGTATTGCCCTGGCTGGTGTGGCTCAGTTGGGATAAACATTGTCCTGTGCATCAAAAGGTCGCTGGTTGGCTTCCCAGTCAGAGCACATACCCAGTTGCAGGTTCGGTTCCTGGATTGGGGTACATGCTGGAAGCAACCAATCAATGTTTCTCCCTCTCCTTCCTTTCTAAAATCAATTTTAAAAAGTTGTTTTTAATTAAACAGTATTGGGTACTTTTTACACTGAACAGTGTACCTTGGAAATTGGTAAATTGGTTCTGTATCAGTTCCATATAGTTCAGTCTTACTATTTTTTTTAAGGTCTGTTTTTTGTTGTTGTTATTCTCGATAAGTCTTAGAATTGGCTCTATACTAAGACAGAGTAGCTTTATCTGGTATTCCATTAAATGGATAATTTATTTAGTTCCTATTAATGAGCGTGTACTATTGAAGACAAAAATTGAATCATTGGGTATACTTTTCCAAGCTACCATTACCATGAACATTTTTCATAGCATTTAGTATATTCTACATTTGAAATACTATACTGTAGGCTGTTTCCAGTTTTACACAGCCAAGATGAATAATCTTTTAGATAAACATTAGTCACTCACATCAGTGATTATTTTCTTAGGATAAATTCTTAGTCATAATGACAATAGTTCATATTGTCAAGAGTTTTCTTCAGAAGAGTTAAGTAGTTTAACTCCTATTTATTAAACAGTTTTGAACACCTATAATGTGATACATTAATAAAAGAAAAACATCGCATCCTGGGGAGCTGTACTTAAATGGGGTAGACAATAAGCAATGGACATAAGTTAATTACATAGTATGTTAGATGATAAGATGGAAAATGGGGGGATTGAGAAATGGGGATAGGGATGCAGTTTTAAATAGGGTGAGGCCACATTGAAAAGGAAGCACTTGAAGTAGGTAATTAAGGACTGTGCTAAGCAGAGTATCGGGGGTGGGACTATTCTTGTATCTCCTGCTTAGCCACCAAAACTGGGCACTATTCTTTGAAAAAGCCTCTCAAATCTGGTAATCTATAAATGAATTTTGTTTATATTTGTTACCAGCAAAGTGACCATTTGGAGATATATTTATTGACCTGCTCCTATCTTTTGCCCATTTTTTATATTAGAGTGTTGGTTATTTTCTTGGTATTAAGTGTTTATTTAGAATATATCTTTTGTCATGTGGCAGATTTGTATTTCAGCTTGTTAGCTTTTCAGATTTCATTTATAGTGTGTTTTTGACATAAATTGATTTTTTTTAAATGTAGCTAATCTGTCTTTTCCTTTTCCTTTGAAGTTTTCAACAGCAACTATCATATCCTTTAAAACTTGCATATTTAATTGTGTGATTACATTAGAATGGTACTTGGCAAAATTGTATTTCTAGATTTGCCCTTGTCAGAAATACTTGTTCCTCAGTAATTTTATATGTTGGTAAATTTTGTTTACATTACTGTTTCTACTACAGTGAGGCCCGAAGGCTGCCGTATTATCGTGTCCCTTTAGATTTCTTGAAATGAGGAACTTGTTTCATGCTTAGGAACTCCTTTATTTTTATTTTTATTTTTTTTAATATATTTTATTGATTTTTTACAGAGAGGAAGGGAGAGAGATAGAGAGTTAGAAACATCGATGAGAGAGAAACATCGATCAGCTGCCTCCCGCACATCCCCCACTGGGGATATGCCCGCAACCCAGGTACATGCCCTTGACCGGAATCGAACCTGGGACCCTTCAGTCCGCAGGCCGATGCTCCATCCACTGAGCCAAACCGGCTTCGGCAGGAACTCCTTTATTAAAAATGAAGAAAAGCCCAGCCAGTGTGGCTCAATGGTTGAGCGTCAGTCCATGAACCAGGAGATCAGGGTTCGACCCTGTCAGGG